TAACTTAACTTACGTAAGAAATCGTCAATGATTACCAAAACCGTCAACTTAGCCAGTGGCGAAAATATTTGCCGCTCCGTTTTCGATCTTTCTTAGGAAATATTTAGCAAAACGAACACTAGCTCCTTTCTGGTTTTCATTTAAAATTCGTGGAACCTATCGTGCAGATTTTTTTAAGCCTAATTCACTGGCTATCATTTCTTGTGACATTCGTGAATCTTCGTAAATGTTTCCCTTAACGAGAGCCAAATTTTTCATGTCGATCAAAAATTTTGGCCACCCTTCTCCAGTGTAGTCTCCACGGAAAAATTACCAGCATTCAATCTTTGATATCTCTTACGAATGGATCGTTCATGAGCGCTTTGGATTTGAGTGAAAATTTCCATAGGCTTGAGAGGGTTGGGGTCGAAAGCCGTTAATAATTACCATGACAAATTTCTACCTGCTTTGGTGACGGAATTTCTACCGACCTTTGGTTACCAATTTTACGCTTTCTTGGCTAGATTGCCACCAATTTCTCTAAAATTTTAATTGAAAAGTAAGATTACTAAAAAACATGTATCTTTTTTAGATTTTTCAAAACCACTTGCAATATCATGAATTTACCGAACTTGTGTAAGTCCCCTTGTACATACTTATACTTTTTAATGTATATTAAGCTCCGGGTCATGCTGAAGATGCTGTGGCTGGCAGCATTGATTGCGCAAGCGCCACAGTCAAGCATTCACCCATTTACTGTTGGCACACATTCACACACACACACACACACACATATACATATGCACGTTATGATGTCATCGGGCATCGAGGGCGCGCTTTGGTGCATTTGGCGCATCTTCAGCTGCAGCTGGGTGCCGCTTGCCAGTTAATATGAATGCAAGTTTCTACTTGACACATAACTACACATCTCTGGTTTTTGTGTGTTTTTTTTAACTCTGCTTTTTGTCTTTGTTTTACGACAACAAAAATCTGTTAACACTTTTCGTGCTATTCGATTCGCCGCCACAGCAGCTATGTATGTATGTAGCTCCAAGGCATTTTTGAACAAGAGTAGCTTTGTTGTAATTGCATTGATGCCTTCGGCAGTTAACTTGTTGCTGTCGGCCTTGTTGTTGTTTTTTAGTAAGGAGATGTAGGTAACTGTTGTTTTTGTCAGTACGCAAGCCGGCCGGCGTTTTTCTTCTATTTTTGCACATTCACTCATCTTCGCCTCTCCTCCACAAAAGTCGCCGAGTTGCGCCATCACTGCCTACTCTTTTTATTTCATTTTCGGAAAATTTCTTGCATTTCGCGTGCCTCTTGCGCATGCCACCGCTGGTTATGACACTGCATTTTTGGCGCTTTTTTGTCTTTTCCTTTTCTATCATCCACTGCCGTCTCGGGAGTTGGCATAAGCTAGTGCTGAGGGCAGCAACAGCTCTGGGAAGTGTAGGGGTGGTTTTCGGCTATTAATGATTGCAACTGCAGCCTCATGCTCATCACTTTAGCACTAAAGCTTTTAATTGCCTATTGCTAGCGAATAAATAGCCGGCAGCTATTTTGTAGCCGACATGATGTTGTTGGTTATCGACTTTTTCAGCTGTTGATTTGATGAAGGTTGCCAGCTGTAAGCTGTTGCGGTCTAAAAAATGCTAAAGTTAAATCAGGTATTTTCAAATGCTTTTTAGATTTTTTTCGCAATTTCCGCGAAATTTTTTAAAACAATTTCGGCATTTTCTATTGACTTCCGGCACTTGTTGGTACTTTGTTTTGGTGCCTTTTGATATTTTCTCGACATTTTGGTAAAGTTTGGGTTCAACTTTGCCTTGTATTAATTCCCAAAAATTTAAAACCTGGACAAACGGATCTGGTCTACAGATGTTAGGCAATTTTATGCCTTGTTTTCGTATTTTGAAATTTTACTATATTTTAATATGTATAGTAAAAAAATTAAAGGTCGCAACCTGTTCTAAAATATTTTCGGATACAATTCTAGTCCGGCAGTTTTTTATCTCTATATTGAAAATATTATTCAACTTTCATATGGACCAGATAATTTTTGCTTTTAATCAGGTGGCAACTCTCTTTAGTTAAAATTATTTTCCAATTTTTCCCAGGCTTAAACATTTTCGGCTGATAACCACATCGAAATCTGTAAATACACTAAAGAGTTGAATTCAAGCAAACTTTTTAAATATGTGGCAACCCTGCTGAAAATTATCTTGGCACCACAGTAGAAGAATATGCCGCTCCTCTCCTGTTATTGAACGTAAACTTAAAATTATCGCCCGTTCGTTGTGGAACACGATTTTTGCTCTAAGTTCATAACTAGTAACTTATTAGTCTTTTGAACGAGAATATGTCAATCACACAAAATGGCTCCTCTCACATCCAGATAGTCTTTGACCAAGTTCCTTCCTTAGCTAAAAGGTAAAATTGTAGACTCTTGTCGCGACGAGGAAAATATATATGTTTATAAACTCGGTAACGAAAAGACATATCGCTGAAAAGACCTACCCACTTGGCCCACTCCCGAAAATTTGGTCATCCGCATCATCTCATGAAAGGATTGTTCAATTGTCCAACCAACGAAACGAGAACGAGTAAACGGAGATAGCTTGGGCGTTTTAAAACGGCAGGTAGACTCGGAATACTTCCCGCGCACTTAGTCTATGCCATAGCATGCCCACAAAGCAACTCTTTATAAGACCTTAATCCAGCTATCAGTAAAGAAACACTTGCATCGTAACTCAACGTGAGTGGAGAGAAACTCTGAAATTTGCAGAAACAAGAGAACCGAAAAAGGGCTGCCAACGCAACAAAAGGAGAGTGAAATCGGTCATGAATTTTTAGTTATTCAAAAGCGTCGAAAAGAAAGCCCTTTTTTTCTTCTCTCGAAAGCACTTGACTCTAAGAGACAAAGACATCACGGCAACACCTCGAGTGACTCAGCAGCTCTTTTTACCCGTCGAATCGGCAGAGGGAAAGCTGAATAGAACTTTGCGGAAACTTTTCTAGACAACTGGCACCCTAGAGAAAGGATTTCCGTAGAGAACTGGAAACTTCCTCGTATGTAGAAAAAATCCAACGCAAACACCTTAGGTCTGCATCTGTTGTCTGCAAAAAATGTGGAGCTTGTTTCGTGCGTGGATGGACATTGTGGCATTTTTTATAAAGAAGCTACCTCCTAAGTAGGGTAGTTACCTCCTCGGGTCGACTATTGGAAGCACCGAAACAGGCCTTAGATCACATTCAAACCATTTGAACCGGACCAAATTCTTGAGCTCACCAAACCTTGCAACAAAAAAATCCTCAACCAGTAACTGGCGAGTTGAGTCTGATGTGGCTACGCTAGGGGCAAGCAGTGATTTATCGGTTTCGCCGTTAGCAAAGCATCTTCTACATAGCTCGTGGTGAGAAAAGGGCTTTATTCTTTACCAATTACGAACCTCTAAGAACCTGAAAAAATAGCACGACAAGACCGGCGATACTTGCTTATGCAGAATCTAGTGCTTGAGGTTGAGGAAATTAAACAGAGGTGCAACGGAAAAGTGACAAAAAATAATACTATAATGTTGGACAACACTTCGATTGCAGCGGCGCTTTATTAAACAGGATGTGTTCCATCCCGCCACGAAATCTGAGAGCAACTGACTAAAGAGCAAAGCGTTTACGAAAGTCGGCTCTACGCCACCGAAACGACCGACTTATTTTCTGGTCCGAACAGTGTCATTTCAAAAGCATGCCATTTGACTTTTTGCAGAATATTTTATGCTGTTATAGCAACAACAGAAAATATCTTCATATTAAGTCTTCGAATTATAGAAAACACAATATCTTAAACAAGGTAATTCTCTATATCGAGACTAATCAATTTGTATAGATTTGAGATCTTTAAATCGAATCTAAGATCGCAAAGGAAAGCCCTAAAATGCTACATTTAGATTTTCGTTCAGCGACCCAATACTAGCCAATACACAAAGATTTTGTATTGCTGAATGCTATTCTAAAGTCAAAAGTCATACCTTCAGCTTACCGCAGCCTTCAACTTAATTAATACCATCAAAAGCTTATGTTTACCTTAATACAGGTTGTGCTTAATCTACTTGAAATATATGAATTAAATGGTTCATCAAAATTTAATTTAATTAAGCAAATACAGTGTCAATTTATTGCCAATACAAAGATTGTCACAATTTGCTGTGTGTCAGGTTGTCGAAATCAACCGAACAGCCTTGTAAACAGTCATACATATACTGCAATCGAAAAGTCCCATATGTCAAGCGTCAACTCCTATGCCACAAATCATAGACAGCCACAAATCATAGACAACCACATAAGTTGCAAGGCGACTTCATATGCAGTGCCTTATCTCACACTTCAGTTATGGAAAGGGGGTTTCCTGCTCTATAGTTGACTTTAATTTTGTTGTAGTAAGTACTTTCTCTCGGATGTAGCACCTTGCTCCAGCCACTGTTACACTATTAAAGTCTCTTCTTCATCAAAACTAATTCATTTCACATGCGCAAAGATAACTCATTAATAACGTGATCTGTCAAATATGGGTGTGATATGTAAATACGTATGTATGTACGTACATACTTACATAAATACTCTGTGTGCATCAAGGCATTGTTGCAACATTCATCATGCAGCAGAGTTTTACAACTTAGCTGGTGCATGGAAATTATGAACCCTAAGTAAGTGTTAAGTATAAATATATATACATAGTATGGCAACGCTGAGAATTGTCATTCTCCCACTTATCCATATTTTGACATTCGTTGTTAGCTTTAAGGTAACATGTGCTTTTAATAAAGAACTCTCCTTCTTCTTTGCTGAACCTTCGACTATTAAACATCACATTTGGCGACGAGTAAAAAGGTTTATATATTTTATAACCAACAAAAGTTATTTAACTTAATAAAAAAGTTTGCAAAACCTGAGTAATTGATATTTTCATTACGGAATTTCGCAAATAACTACACATCCAAATAGAAATGGCACCTTCCAACGAGATGAGAGTATTTCAAGCTGTGTCTATGCCAGAATTCAGTATCACAGAAAATTGGGAATTATGGCACGAGAGACTCGAACTACATTTCTTGGAAATAAAGTGCAGTGATGACACGGATAGAGTATCAACATTGTTGAAAACGATTGGATCAGAAGCATACGCCATTTTACGAGGAATTTGTAGTCCAGCACTACCATGTACAAAGTCATACAAGGAATTGTGTGAAATACTGCAACAACAATTCACACCTCCAGTCATCGTTTTTAATGAAATTAAAAGATTTTATGCAGCGAAAAGAGCTGAAAGCGAAAGCGTATCTGCGTGGTTTGCTCGGGTAAAAAAACTTGCAGTAAATTGTAAATTCGGTGCAGCATTGGACACCATTATTTTGCATAAATTTGTGGTTGAACTGCCTGGAAAGATTTTCGAGAAAATCTGTGAAGAGGACGAAAAATTGACCCTCTCCAAGGCTTTACAAAAGGCATTAATACGTGAAACGAAGCTGGCTCAATCAAGCAATGATATTGAAGTTAATTACATCAAACAACGTGGCAAATTTAACAACAAAAACTACAAGAGCAACGCAGTAAGGTCGAACAACAACAACAGCAAAGCGAGCAAAGTATCGAAATGTACACACTGTGGATGGAAAAACCACCAATCCAACACCTGCAAATTCAAGAACAGCACTTGCCATTTTTGCGGCTCAGTTGGGCATTTGGCAAACATTTGCAACCGTAAACTTAAGAGTGATAAAAATGTTCAATTTGTTGATTCAACACATGAGAAATATTCTAATAATTTTTTTGATTCTATTTATAGCATTGGTATGAATGAAACTAGCGATTTTGATTTTTCCGTATATGCCATCCATGGAAACGCTGCACTGAATCATTATACCCTGAAGGTTGAGGTTAACGGAATACAAATAACAACGCTGTGCGACACCGGCGCTCCTTGTTCTCTAATGTCAGCTAATACATTCGATGCGTATTTCGATCGAAAGGTGCTACAGCAATGTTCAGTACCATACACCGGATACACAGGTAACCTGATTAATATTATTGGTGAGTTTAAGGCTTGTGTTAATTTCAATGGACAAAAAATTTATGGTAAATTTGTAGTTACAAATACAGACAGGCCAACCTTATTAGGGCGAGACTTTCTTCGTTCCCTAGGTTTTGAGTTAACTCAATCTAATTTGAGTTCAAAAAAGGAATCGTTTTCTTCCGGTGAGCTAGGTCTGAATTCTAATACTAGTAATGTTACTTCCAAATCAAATTCAGTGAATTATTTAAACACGTATAATGAAATAATTGAACAAATTAAAGCAGAATTTGCTGAAGTATTTCAAAGTGGTTTGGGTAAATACAATATATCAACAATTTCTTTACCAATTTCGAAAGATGCAGTTCCTGTATTTTTCAAACCAAGACCTATACCCATAGCATGGCGAGAAACAGTTGAGAAAAAACTAGACGAGTTAGTTGACAAAGGAATGCTGGTTTCCGTCGACAATTCAGATTGGGGAACACCACTTGTTCCTTTGCTTAAACCATCTGGAGAAATCCGGATTTGTGGTGATTATAAGGTCACAATAAATAAATATTTGAGTGACTTTAGATACCCCTTACCTCGAATTGATCAAATTTTCGCATCAATGGAAGGAGGTAAACTTTTTACAAAGTTAGACATGTCAAACGCATACAACCAACTCGTGCTTGACGAAGATGCACAAAAATTATGTATCTGGAGTAGCTTCTGTTGAATTTTGACTTTTATATCAAATAGTTACATACATAAGTATGTAGAACTTCTTAGACACAAATGTGTGTATGTATGGAAGCATGTGCTGACGATGTTTCCATGTATCTACGTACTGATGAATGTTTATTAGGGTGGTAAAAAAAAGTAAAGTCGGAATTGTTCTATACCGAAAAAAATATACCGCTGTTTTATTTTTATTTTTTTTTATAAAAAAATATTTAGCGGTAATTGAGCTAACGCTTTCTTCGTGCGCGCGTTGGGCGAAAACCCTACGTGCAAATTAAGTCTTTCTGTCCGCTGATTGACTGCGGCCGATCTAAGTAGTCTTGTGGCCGCAGCTCTTTCCGACTATCATTCACATTCCTGAATGCGCTCCTGAAACGGTTGCAGCGTTTTGCTTTCAAATTAAAACTAAGTGTGAAGTATAAAACTTTTGTTATCAGAAAAGCAAATATAAAATCAACTTTCATTCTACTGTCATTCTTATTTGCAGGTGTGAATAATTAAGTAGCTTACAACAACAAAACTAATGAATTTCGAAACAAAGTTTCCGAAAGAAAATGCAAAATTTAAAAGAAAGTCAATAAGCTAAAGTATTCACCGCAGATATAAAAGCAGCTTTGGAGAATTTCGAAACCAGTTGAGAGCTGAGTGTGGCAGGCTTGGAAAGAAAAGCAAGAGTCATTACAGTTACTTCGTTTAGTGAATTTTCCAGCGCCGCGAAATTTCCATAACCGTCTAAGCTCTACCACCAATACACCCAAACATGGCCTTCTGGGCAATTGCAACACGCAAAAGCCAATCGCCGCCTATGAAAATTACACCCGTACTCAATCCTAATCAACGCGAATTTCTCGAAGATGAGCTACTCTATCGCGAGAAATTGGAAATACTCGCTGAACACAATACGATTAGCACTGATTTGTTTGTGCGTAAATTCGAGGACATCGACGATCCAGTATTGCTGGACAAGCACGATTCCTTCTATCACACCACCAAGAGTCTGCTGGTGCTGTTCCAAATAATGGGCGTCATGCCCATACATCGCAATCCGCAGAAATCGCACATGCCACGCACTGGCTATTCGTGGACCTCCAAGCAGGTCTTTTGGGCGATATTTGTATTCTCCGTGCAGACGACTGTGGTGGTAATGGTTTTGCGTGAGCGTGTTAACACTTTTCTCAACGACACGGATCGTCGCTTCGATGAGGCCATCTACAATGTGATTTTCATCAGTTTGCTATTCACGAACTTCTTACTGCCGGTCGCGAGTTGGCGTCACGGACCGCAAGTTGCGATCTTCAAGAATATGTGGACGAATTATCAGTTGAAATTCTTGAAAGTTACCGGTTCGCCGATTGTGTTTCCCAACTTGTATCCGCTCACCTGGGGTCTGTGTTTCTTTTCGTGGGGTGTCAGCATTGCAATAAATCTATCGCAGTATTACCTTCAGCCGGATTTTAAGCTGTGGTACACTTTCGCCTACTATCCGATCATAGCGATGTTGAATGGTTTCTGCAGCTTGTGGTGAGTAGTTACTGCGGCGATAGTGGAAGTCAAGTTTTCTTTCGTTTCTTTAATCTTCATCTTCTAGGTATATAAACTGCACAGCATTCGGCACCGCTAGTCGCGCTCTCTCCGCTTCGCTCGAGATGACTCTAATGAGTGATAAGCCGGCCAAGAAGCTCACAGAGTATCGTCATCTTTGGGTTGACCTGAGTCACATGATGCAACAACTAGGTAAGCCGACGAAATATCGACGCACCCAGTATCTGAAATTGCAAAATTCGCAATCAAGGTTTTTATTCCATTTTTCCGTTAAGTAGCCTAGACAGCATAAGGTCTAAATCTGGTAATCAGAGAAAACGTATGCCTTTTTCTCTATATAAATATTTATCCTTAACGGCCATATTTCAATATTTTTTTAACGTCAAATTCCTTCTCATTAAAGCCATCGCCTACAAAATTTTTTTCTGTATACGCCCATGACGCTTAAAAGTCCTCTGATGAATAACTTTTTAAATCTTCAGTAAGTTAATAGCCACTTTTCTAGACTCTCTTCAACTTTAAAATATAAAATTTCCAAAACAAATACAATCTCAGTGCTCTCTCCCTTTTAGTGTAAGTATGCAAGACATAAGCCTGAGAAATTATGATTTCGTTTCTTGGCTTACAAATATGCACTTCCCAAACGGTGTTTAAAAATTTCCTTTTAAGTCAGAAGTTGATGGTGTCTTCTATTATGCACCTAAGCATGATGCTCTGAAATAGGGAAGGACTCCAGCCTATGAATTACTACGTCCAAAAAGTTCCGGCTTTAAGCTTAAATTGTTTTACTATGCGTTATGTCTCGTTGGTTGATGAACCAAAATTAATGGAGTGAATGAGATATCATTAGTCGGGTGCTATGGGAATGCCTAGCAAATTCCGGAACGATAGGAAGTCGATCCCACAAAATAAAACACTGTACTTCAATGTATTAACGCGGGACTGGCGGCCTGACGTTTCGGAGGCCAGAGAGATACTGGTGAGCGATATGAGACTAACAGCGGTGATGGAGACGTAGATGGCGAGCAGCGGTGACTGTTTAGGGTATCGATGGACAATCGGTGATGTTAACTGATGCCGGCATCTGTGGACGACCAGTGGGTGTCCTTTTGGTTCCTTACAATGGTTAGACTACCGGAGGCGACCGGCGGATGTACTGGTGGATCGCCCAGCGTTTTCTGGCAACGTTAAGAGTACTAGTAGCGACCGGTGGAAGCACTGGACGGTCGTCCGATTGGTCTCAGAAAGTGTGAGATGACTCTTGACCGCCCGTAGATGCAATGGTAAATGGTCGTGTTGCTTTCGCTGACTGCTTCTGGTGTCCGCTGGTGCTGTACCCCGCATGGCATTGAGCTCGCTCTATGCGCTGTTTGCTGACTTTATTCGCTTAGCTTATGTTATCTACATCCATGTTTCACAGCGATTATGCTTCCTTCTTCTCTCACTTAAGCTCTAAGCGTCTAAATGTAATTTATTCCAGTAGACCTTTTTAGAAGCCCTAAGCCACCAGCAATTAGGTCAGATTGACGCGGTTTGTACATGGCGAGATTGCAGATTTTGTTACGTAAGCATTCTGGACTGATACCATTCCACCTCTCCGTTTTCACAATTTAGCTTAAAAGGGCAATTATGGCTAAGATCTGTCTTTCGTAAGACAAATGAAAGACAGATCGCAAGATAGTTCGAAAGACTTTTTTATAGCACAAGAATTTTAGAAAAAAGCTCTCCCATTCATCTCTCGTGTTGAAATGCTATTATGAAAGAAAGCACTTGATTATCATTCAGCTCGCGTCGATCCAACAGTCGAAAGTACAGACGTGTCTTTCGAAAGATACAAGTTCGAGACCTCGGGCAGCGGATTTTTTTTTCTTAACTAACATTTTTTCGTTTTTAATTTAATTTTCTTTAAATTTAGAGATTTTATTGTTTCAAAGAAAACATTTTTTTATTAAATCAAATTTTTAGAAACTTATTTTATTTATTTTTTTCCCTTTTTTGATTTAATTTCTAATTTTCTTTTAATTTTTAGAAAAAAATATATTTTTTAAATTTTATTAAATTTTTATTTACTATTTTCTTTTTTTATCTAATCTTTTTCTAATTTAATTTTTAGATTTTGTTGTTTTAAGAAGACCAAAAATTTATTTAAATTTCATTTAATTTTTAAATTTTTTTTATTTATTTTGGCTTTTTTATTATTATTTTTTTCTTTTTTTTATTATTATTATTATTATTGTTTTCAAAATAAAAAAAATGTAGATGCGTTCTTTTAATTTAATTTAATTTTTAAAAATTTATTGCTAAAGAAGAACAGCATACCGCTAAGACCATAGAACTTCTTCGCAGAAGAACTATAGATTAGGAGAAACATTCTGTTCTTGGTGATCTCTGCCTCGAAAGAAGGAATCCCACTATTTTTACCCCGTAGGTTTAAAATTTGGGAACTGTTTTGTTAGTTTATTTATTATAGTGTTTTTTATTCTCATCATGAAAAGAAATGTGTTTCTTCTCGCTCAAAAAATCAGTCACTAATGGCAATAAAATTACGAAAATCTTAAAAATCATAATATTTTGTCTGAAGAGCAATCCGAAGAGGTTCCTAAGGACGGCACTTCTGGTTGACAAAATGCACTTGAGGAAAAGTTACTCATATCTCCACACGAAGGTTCAATTAATTCACCTTATATGCAGGATCTACGTAGAGTTCTAAACTAAACTTCCCTTACCTACTAGAGTTCATTATCTATTTGAT